TGGTTACAAATACATGTACGCCATAATCATCCAGTTTGAAAGAAAATTCTTTCTGTAAAACTGAGAAAGAAAATTTGCTTATTTATTCATTGACGATCAATGGAAACTAAACATGAAACACAGGTAAAAGAGTCTTAAAGTCCACCTAAAGTTAAAATATATACTCACATGTTCGGTAGAAGTCTGGAGTATGGTTTGGATTTGCTGAAAAGATGTTTATGTTTTGCTCGGCAAAATCCAGAAAACTAACTTGTTCTTTTAGTGAAGATGACTGTCATCGTACTTTACATTCATTTACGAACAATGGCTGGTCATTATGGCTTTTTGAGAAGACCTGGCAGCAGTTGTTTTTGTGAGTAATAAATTTATGTCCTCTTGTGTAATTTGTCTTCTTATTGCAAGAGAAACATTCCTGATTTAGTCGGATTGTTCAGCGAAAAACAAAAGTGCATAATTTTTTTCGCTATTTAGCTTACGTTATAATTAACCTGTTTTGTCAAGGATAAACAAACTTAAAAACGGAGGACACTTTATACAAATGGGATTAGGATATTTCCTGACAAAGACCAAATTGTGGTCTTTTTCCACCTGAATGTCAGTCTTTACGGCAGACTTTTCAACGATTCAGGCTCTATTAATAATTATTGCAAAATGCGAGAAAGTTTTGCATAATTGCTGTTGATGTTTGGGTAGTTAGTACTTAGGGTAAACAGACAAAAAACACAGCTGGACATGTCAATTCATGAAAAAAATCTGCATTTACACACAGACGGGCATAAATAAAGATTTTGTTCATGGTGGCTCGATAGGACTTATATAGGGCAAGCATGCACGCTATGTAACAAAAAATGTTTGTCTTTGACCTGAACATGTGGCAAGGCAAACTTTTTTGCCTTGAGCCTTTATGGTGACCTTGTCTCATTAGTTATTGAGGGGAGAACAATAAGTAAAAAGGCCACCTGGAAGACCTCAAGCAGGATAGAGTGAAGGATGGCAGCCCTAGCCTTATGTAGTGGTCAAGACTCCAAGAACTACATAGCGATCGAGACCTATAAGGAAGGACCTGCCTGTGGGCAGAAGACTTACACACACACACCTCTACAAATCATTACCTTAATAATAGCAAGAAAAGAACACAAATCACAAAGTTGTGGTCATGTACAATTTTAACACTACATAGGTTTTTTTATGACATGTACCTTCCACTCTTGCCTCATCTGGGGTAATTGTAGCGCATTTGATTCCAACACTATACTGCTTTATGGCTTCTGCTGCCTCAACTGTCACTTTGTCATCTGTCTTGTCTCGGTTTGGCAGACCAAGGTCAAAATATTTAATGTCAAGATCCAAGTACGGTGTAATTAGCTAAAAAAGAGAAAAATAAGGACAAATGTGTGGTCAGACTAGTACTGTCCTATCAACATGGAGGTATTTGGGTATATATTATGATATTTAAAGGTACATGTAGTTATTCATCAATCCACCAATAATATGAGATGCTTGCACCTCTCACATAGGTGGATTTACTGGGTATTTGTAGCCTACATACATGGATATCAAAAAGTTCAAGAAAACATTTCTCTTCACTGCTTTCACCCTATTAATATACACTATATGATGAATCAATGGAGTTTTAAAATCTAAAGGACACATGAGCAAGTTTTAATCTGACACAAAGGCGCCCACGCGAAAGGAAATAAACAAGGTAGGGTCAACAAGGCAGTATAATAACACTGTAACTGTAAAAGTTGTCAGTAAAGCTCTGTCCAAATGAAAACTTTGGGTCATCAATGTTTGACATGCATTTCATAAAAATGAAAATTGGTGTCGTGAACACAAGTTGTACTGAAGCTGCATGCAAATGGCCAAGATTCTTGGGATCATATCAACAAATTAGATAATGTTAAATTTGTATTCAACAAAAGGTGTGACAGTTTCGTTTGTCAGAATTATTGAAGGTTCATATTAGCGTTATACTGCCACTAGATGACCTGTATCACTAAATAAACTATGACTTTTTGTATGCATGTGCGCATCCTGTGGGTCAAGGAATTCCCCACCACTGACACAATTAAAAATGAATTGCCAATGGCCTTTTGTTGGAGCTAGTGAAACCTTTCCAAACCTCCTGCCTGAGGCTTCCAGAAAGCATACAACAGGTGTCACCTCCCCAAGGAAACCAAATTGGACTGCTCTTTTCTGAAATTTATCAGTACTACTGTAGGCGGACACTAATGAGGCCTTCCAAGGGGGGTAGCTGTGTCGCAATGTCGCTTGCTCTAGGAGACCGTTGTCGCCTAATCTACAGCTGCAAATGTCGCTGTCGTTTTTTGAAGTGTACGTAACTGTACCAGTCATTTTTGTTTTGCGAGAAACTGTTTCGCAACAGGGCTATAACAGGATTTTCATGGTGGTCAGTTGGCAAAACTTTTTATAAACTTCGTTGGCTGAAACATGGAAAATCGTTACAAAGAAGGTGAGTCAATTTTTCTTCGCTTAAGCTGACATTTTAAGCGAGAAAACTCCGTATTTTGCAAAGCATCTTTTTGCAAAACAAGAACTCATTACGCGTGCAAGACTTCGTGGACAAGATTTTGCGACTGGTAAGAATTTCTCTTTTAATCAGTGNACTATACTGCTTTATGGCTTCTGCTGCCTCAACTGTCACTTTGTCATCTGTCTTGTCTCGGTTTGGCAGACCAAGGTCAAAATATTTAATGTCAAGATCCAAGTACGGTGTAATTAGCTAAAAAAGAGAAAAATAAGGACAAATGTGTGGTCAGACTAGTACTGTCCTATCAACATGGAGGTATTTGGGTATATATTATGATATTTAAAGGTACATGTAGTTATTCATCAATCCACCAATAATATGAGATGCTTGCACCTCTCACATAGGTGGATTTACTGGGTATTTGTAGCCTACATACATGGATATCAAAAAGTTCAAGAAAACATTTCTCTTCACTGCTTTCACCCTATTAATATACACTATATGATGAATCAATGGAGTTTTAAAATCTAAAGGACACATGAGCAAGTTTTAATCTGACACAAAGGCGCCCACGCGAAAGGAAATAAACAAGGTAGGGTCAACAAGGCAGTATAATAACACTGTAACTGTAAAAGTTGTCAGTAAAGCTCTGTCCAAATGAAAACTTTGGGTCATCAATGTTTGACATGCATTTCATAAAAATGAAAATTGGTGTCGTGAACACAAGTTGTACTGAAGCTGCATGCAAATGGCCAAGATTCTTGGGATCATATCAACAAATTAGATAATGTTAAATTTGTATTCAACAAAAGGTGTGACAGTTTCGTTTGTCAGAATTATTGAAGGTTCATATTAGCGTTATACTGCCACTAGATGACCTGTATCACTAAATAAACTATGACTTTTTGTATGCATGTGCGCATCCTGTGGGTCAAGGAATTCCCCACCACTGACACAATTAAAAATGAATTGCCAATGGCCTTTTGTTGGAGCTAGTGAAACCTTTCCAAACCTCCTGCCTGAGGCTTCCAGAAAGCATACAACAGGTGTCACCTCCCCAAGGAAACCAAATTGGACTGCTCTTTTCTGAAATTTATCAGTACTACTGTAGGCGGACACTAATCATAACTTGCAACACCCCATACTGAAATCCCACAAGTAAAATGAAACACTGTTGATTAATCACTCACTCTTTACAGTTAAAACAAATGCAATATAACAAAGGTGTTCTTCAATTATGTACAATGTACATTTAGCCATCACAAATATGCAAACTACAGCTCGAGCACGAACAAGTCACCAACAACATTTCTGAATTTTAGCCACATATTGCTCAGCTTGTAATAAGGAGCTTGTTGGAAACAGGGTACATGTGTGCTGCAAATAAATCCATCCTACATATATTTTTTTGCTTGAGTGACAATTTTTAAAGAGGGGGAATCTATCCAGAGAACAAACATGTGTACATGTAACTCTATCCTGTCCACAAACTAACTGTCTTTGTAAAGTGATTTACTACATCCTGGTGTGAGATCTAGGTTTGCAGCTTGGTGCCAGTTTTGATTTGAAGCCATTAAATATAAAAGATGGCAGTTTTCAATATAAGCTTACAAGAACAGCAAAAATAGACAACGCAAATTAAAATTACTCTTATTCAACTTGACTATTAAGTGTGTAAATAATGATCATGATGATGGAGCTTGATGTAGAAAGAAGCAAAAGGTGTACGACTTGGAAGACTTGCGTGTCAAATGCTATTAACTAAAACAATATTTACGCTAAACCACGACGGTGCATACAGTCCATTAAAAATATGAGAGGACGAGTTAGCCGCGTATTTTTTCCATTTCCGAGATACACATTCACTTGGTTACCGTAAAAATATCTTAGTGAATATTTTACGGAAAATATTCACGACGGAAGCACATGATGCTGAACTAATAAACGAGCCTTAAATTTTAGTTAACCTTTTTTGCACGCTTATAATTCGCAAGAGATTAAGACATGAATAAGATATTGAATGTATTATCTTGAGCTTACTCTTTCCTTAATCATTTTCCAGATAACACGAGTCATTTCATCGCCGTCCATCTCCACAACAGGACCATCAACTTTGATTTTCTTGGCAAATCCTTGATGGCAAACTGTTAATACGAAAGTTTTAAATGACGTACAGTTAGAACAATTGTTTATTTGTGAGTTAGCTTGGAAGACTTCGATCTACCGGCACGTGCTTGGAAAACATCAAGTTACACTATTTTGCCACACTCGCAGTTCGTGAAATAATACTTACAATTCTTCGGTTGCTTCTGAAGTTCAAACGCAGGCAAAGAAGCAAGCGGTCGCAGAATACTGCGTCCTCCAAAAAGCGAAATTCGAGAATATCTTGCAATTGCCGCCATTTCTGGAAGAAGGAAGCTGTCTGCACCAGAGTACTGGAAACTACTCGTGTTTCGTGGACTTTCGTGTCTTCGTACATGACGAGCTACTTCGTAATCTCTTACTTCTCCGAGTTGAGAATGCGCTTGACCTTATCGGAGCGCCTTGTATCGGGGGTTGCGTTTGTCGTCAAAGCTCTGATAATTTCAATTTCCACCATGCTTTCTGCGAGTGTTACCACGGCAAGGAGGCTCCAGCGAGCTTTTTCGAAAGTTTTGTTTCGGTCGTCTTGTGAGGTTTTGAAGCAGTCACAAAATCCTCGTTCGTTTTCAGTCTCCGATGCACGGATGGATCCACAGAAACTGAGAGATGAGTGGGGGAAACCTTCCTTCGAAGTCATGAAAATGACACGCTTACTAGATCATGACAATCATGAGAAAAAAGAGAAATTCCGCAAAATTTTGTCAGAAGACACCCTAATGACTCCAAAATACAACATCACTGTGGACGAAGAAAGGGAGCTGGCGCTTAAACGGTTAAAGAAACTTTGTGATCAAGGTTTTATTTCTGTGTTGGATTTCAAGAACAATCCCTTGTGGATCTTTTCTGCCCACGAATTGGTAGCAGTTGTTGATGCGTCCATGGCCACCAAGATGACCGTTCAGTTCAACCTATTTGGTGGTACTGTTTTTAAATTGGGAACGGACAGGCATCACGAAAAACTTTTAAAGGTACAGAGTTGCATAAGTTAAATTTACGTCTGTTCATCTTCTTCCTATAATCATTTAGCGACCTAAGCAATCACGGTGGCAACATCAAGGATAACCATTAATCTTAAATGAGAAAAAGTCGCATTTAAAAGCCGTTTAAGACTTTGTTTCATTTATCTTGTTTGACTGAATATTAATGACCAGCGTTCAGTTTGTGTAGTAACTTCTTTCAAGTTCACAGACAAAATTTTCAGCACAATCTTGAATATCACCACTGCACGTTGTTATGATTGTAAAACGTTTGTGCCTGTAAAGTATTGTACGCCTTCCCACTCAGTGATTGCACGAGGACTCCTAAGAAGACCATGTCACACAGACAAGCTGCTGCCTTTAACGGGTTCAAGAGAACTTGTGAAAAATAGAAATTAATTGACTTTTGTGCCGTTGTTCCTAAAATAAACAAAACATTTTCCGTTTGAAATTTTAGTCTCTGCAACTTTAACTGAAATGAAAGTAAAGGTGATGATGAGCACCAAAGGTACATTATGCAAAGAAGCAAGGTATTTCAATTTTCAGAAAAATCGCACTACACGTGCATACTAAAAGTTTACAATGCGGAAAATTAATACCAGTGAACTACTTGGAAAAAGGGTGCATGCAAGTAAAGTTCTATTCAACGACTCAGTTTTNCATGCTTTCTGCGAGTGTTACCACGGCAAGGAGGCTCCAGCGAGCTTTTTCGAAAGTTTTGTTTCGGTCGTCTTGTGAGGTTTTGAAGCAGTCACAAAATCCTCGTTCGTTTTCAGTCTCCGATGCACGGATGGATCCACAGAAACTGAGAGATGAGTGGGGGAAACCTTCCTTCGAAGTCATGAAAATGACACGCTTACTAGATCATGACAATCATGAGAAAAAAGAGAAATTCCGCAAAATTTTGTCAGAAGACACCCTAATGACTCCAAAATACAACATCACTGTGGACGAAGAAAGGGAGCTGGCGCTTAAACGGTTAAAGAAACTTTGTGATCAAGGTTTTATTTCTGTGTTGGATTTCAAGAACAATCCCTTGTGGATCTTTTCTGCCCACGAATTGGTAGCAGTTGTTGATGCGTCCATGGCCACCAAGATGACCGTTCAGTTCAACCTATTTGGTGGTACTGTTTTTAAATTGGGAACGGAGAGGCATCACGAAAAACTTTTAAAGGTACAGAGTTGCATAAGTTAAATTTACGTCTGTTCATCTTCTTCCTATAATCATTTAGCGACCTAAGCAATCACGGTGGCAACATCAAGGATAACCATTAATCTTAAATGAGAAAAAGTCGCATTTAAAAGCCGTTTAAGACTTTGTTTCATTTATCTTGTTTGACTGAATATTAATGACCAGCGTTCAGTTTGTGTAGTAACTTCTTTCAAGTTCACAGACAAAATTTTCAGCACAATCTTGAATATCACCACTGCACGTTGTTATGATTGTAAAACGTTTGTGCCTGTAAAGTATTGTACGCCTTCCCACTCAGTGATTGCACGAGGACTCCTAAGAAGACCATGTCACACAGACAAGCTGCTGCCTTTAACGGGTTCAAGAGAACTTGTGAAAAATAGAAATTAATTGACTTTTGTGCCGTTGTTCCTAAAATAAACAAAACATTTTCCGTTTGAAATTTTAGTCTCTGCAACTTTAACTGAAATGAAAGTAAAGGTGATGATGAGCACCAAAGGTACATTATGCAAAGAAGCAAGGTATTTCAATTTTCAGAAAAATCGCACTACACGTGCATACTAAAAGTTTACAATGCGGAAAATTAATACCAGTGAACTACTTGGAAAAAGGGTGCATGCAAGTAAAGTTCTATTCAACGACTCAGTTTTCGTACAATGTACTAAATGGGGAAGAGGGTTTCTTCCTGAAAGTCGGCAGACTGGAATCAAAAGTGTTAACATTGGATACTTAGGTGCTTAGACCTACTGATCGTAAATGTCGACACACAATCGTTTCTAAGTATTCCAAAGAAAAGTTTTCAGTTACTCAGTCAGGTGTTGATGAAATAAAAAACATTTTTGTCTTGGAAAGGAACAAAAAGGACCGAAGAACTCATAAACTCATGAGAACTGATCAAAAGCTTCCCAGGTCATAACTAATATTTCCATTGTGTGGTCCATGTGGTTTGTAATAACATCGTATTTTTTACGCAGGGGCACACCAAGCCCTAGGATTTCAAATCTCATGGATAACAATTTTTGAATTCCTTACCCGGAGATCATTGGAAACCATTGGTAACAATTTTTTGGTTCGGTGAAAATGCAAGGGAACCCACTTTTATTTCTTTTATGTACAGTTCTAACTTGTTGTTGAACTTAGTTTTAAATTAAAGAACATAAATGTGTGCTATTATTTACAAAAAACTTCAATGTCTATTAATACAGCTGTAGGTCAGAAGAAGATGTGTATGCACTAAGTGTCAAAAACTCCAGACTCCTCTTCCATCCAGCTAAAGAAGTATACTCACTTGAAATGTTCGTTACAGATCTATTGTCTTTTCCTAAAGGGATTCGGTTCGGGCCTCATCAACAGTTTTAACAGTGAAATTAGGGAACTTAAGAACCACGACGAAGTTCATGATGACGAGGTCTGTTGAGTGGGAAAAGACTGGAACGAGAACATCAGTTTCAGCAGGAAAAGGGAAACTTAAGATGCAGTCGGTCGGTAGGTCGACAACGACTGAATGTAAACACAAATGTAAAACGGTGAAGTTCGTTTGCAACAAAGTTTTTCGCAATGGCGTCTTTTAAAACAATGCAAGATCTTATTTTTTTTGCCGTATGTCTAATTTCTTTGACGATGAAGAATTTTTTGTGTTTTCTGACCTTTTCGAGTGGAAAAACACCTGCTTTCTGTACGAAGATTATTCAACTTTCAACCTGAATAAGATGACTGCTTCCAAAGGTCTGTCAGCATTTAGATTTGGGAAAAGGGACCCTCTGATGTGATAGCTGTTTTCCATATAAAGTTTATTTCGTTTGTATTAAAGATAAATGATTTGCCTTACCAGATTGCAGGACGATGTGATTCTACTTTGTTTGGCATGTATATTTTGATCCCCCAGTATAAATGTATCAGGATATGTCACTGGGAAACTATTTTTCAGTTCTTTAATTTTAAGATGGTAAAGAGACGGTACCAGAAAAGATCGTTACTATGAAATCCTAGGGCTTGTAAAGATGCAGAAAATAAAATTAATATTTTATCTAAATGTGATTTGGATATGCGGTGAAAAGATTTGTATGGCAGTGAAACAGCTTTGCAGCAGAATGACTGCAACACAGCAATACAGTAGTGGTGCAAATCCAGAAAGAAGGTAGAAGAACCACTACACAACATTTAGAGGGATGAAATGTGATGCATAGTGTTTTTATTTAATAAATGAAGAATTATACATTCCCCTTGTTCAAAACTTGGAACAAGAGATTTATTATGGATTTAGTTGGCTTCTTTATTATGTGCTTAAATTACCGTATTTATTCGACTATAAGCTGAGTGATTTTTACACAAATTAAAACTGAAGTGAATTAAAATTTGGGCTCTAGAGGGGGTCTCGGCTTATAGCCGAAAGTTTTTGAAAAAAAATTTTTTCTGGTACATTGAAACTCTACTTAATGGAAATGTATTTACTTATAAGCTGAGCTAAAGTAAAGAAACACAATATGCAATCTTTGGTTATTAACTTTTAAGAATGTGGTGGCTCCTAAAGGAGCCTTTTGTTAAATTTAATGTGTTTTCACAGATGTCTTTGTTGTCATCAGCGTTCGTCATCATCTTCGCTGTGCGTGTCGAATTCTTCTTCCATCTCCTCATCATCTGCATCAATTTCAGGACAGTTGTAGATGGCATCGTCTTCTGTTCCGTCAAGTGCATTGGAGATGCCACAAGTCTTGAAGGATTGCCTCACCATCTCCTTGGGAATATCACTCCAAGCTTGCTTTATCCAGCGAAGGACCAGATTTAGGGAAGGAGCTTTCTTCTTGCCTGCTAGATTAAACTTTCACTGATGGTGGAACAACAAGGTCTCTGGGAGTGCGAACACCCTTGAAGGTCACTGAAGGCGGTACTTTCTTCCCATCAGCGGCAATTGCTAGTGTGACACTGAAGCTTCGTTTCTCAGCACCACAGGATTTTATGGGAACTGTTCTGTTGCCACTGAATTCTGAGACCAGGGTGTCCAGTTCCTATTTTTTCCTACTTTTTCCTATTTTTTGAGCATATTCCTATTTTCTCCTATTTTTAAACAAAAACCTCCTATTTTTCCTCTTTTTTAGTTAGTGAAGCCAAAATTGAAAATGGGATTATAGTTGTATTGTGTTTTAAAGTGAGCTTTATCATAAAGCAAGTAGTATGTTGAGTTTGGTGTTCTAATATTAGCAAAAATAATATTAGTTACATTACATTTGCTCTTTCCATGACCTCTATTGCCCATTAGAGTTCTGGTTCTGGTTATAATTATTGTTACTTTTTGTATAATTTTCTAGTGCACCTACATGTACATGTATTGTATGAAATGTTATAGTTCTCATGATTATTGAATAATATTGTACATAGCCCACTGAAACTGCATTTCAGTCTCTGAACACTTCATGATGTAATTATTTTGAAGTCTTGCTCCCTTTTCTGTTCATCTTTGAAACTGAAAAGATGATCAAGTTGCCCTTTAACAACACAGATCAGATAAATCATCCATTTAGCTTCTTGTTTAAAGAACCAATCACCAGCTGGATTCTGTATGCTACACGAAAAGAACAGACTCAAGTTTAGTTTACGGTACTAGCTCTCTTGGTGAGCTCTTGTTCTCAGCTATTCCTAAGCAACTGGCAAAGGATCCAATATTTTGGTTCCGAAACTGTTCTTGCAATCATAGCTAAGCAGAGTGTTATGTTCCTCTTAGAACTTAACCATAACACACTTACAATCTGGTACCAAACAGATCCGTGTCATTTTGCATACACCGCGGAAAGCTTGGTTTGGTACTTAAAACGATGCGGTCTTTTAACTCAATCAATCATATCCTCAACCAGCTACCGATTGTAGATTAATGGAACGAAAGCTTTCCATGGGACTTTTTAGTTCAATATTCTTTAATGACAATGGTAGCGTAAGAAATTTCTATCCTAAGAAATTTCACTTTTTGAAGCTTTTCAAAGATTTGCCGCCAACTTGAAGGGAATTGTCATATGATCACCTTTGAACAACCGCGCTGCACCTGTAGTCAAGAATGTCATTCTGATTACAGCATAACTGAGCCAAAAAACTAACGTTACTGATCTTTGTCACTCCTTCTAAGCCGCGAAAGTTGGTTTAAATCCTGCAAACGTAAAGGCTAAGGACTCGTGGCCTTTATTATAGCCCTGATGGGGAGCAGGGAGGCTATCTATGTCGACGAAAGTACTATTGATTTTCCTGTTTTTCTCCCATTTTTTAATACAAAATTTCCCATTTTCCTATTTTTTTGAGCAACCATGCCACTGGACACCCTGTGAGACTGTTTGCTGCTCCAAATCTTCTGGGAGATGCGGAGCGAGTTTTGTTTTGGTGCGAAGGCTGATGGAATAACGGCCCTTCCATTTCTGGTACCAGCTGAGGGATGCTTTAAACTCAGGATCCTTGCTGAATTCCTTTGCCTTTAGATGTAGCATCAATCCACTAACAGCTAATCCTGTGCAAAATGAAGTGAGAAGGTTACCAAACGATCCAAAGGATAAAAATTTGACATGTCTTGAATTTGTTTTGACATTGTGAAAACTGGCCAATGAGAATCTTTCATACACAATGTTGTCACATGATACTACGATAGTTTTGAGAGTCACACATTCAACTCATATTCACTCTGCAATCAGCTGATTGATTTATTTCGTGATCTTGTTTCTGTTGTTTTAAAATACAAAATCAATGCTCGACAAAAAACTTACCTTGGCTTCTCTGCTCTGTAAACCATTTCCCGTAGTTAACAATTCAGTCTTGTAATAATGAATGGGTCTCAGCTTATAGCCAGGTGTTGTCGATTTATTTTTGGTTCACGTTATGCCGAGTCTACACGTTCAAAGTTTGGGGTCTCGGCTTATAGTCAACTAAATACGGTATAGCATAGCAAATGAAATCTGACAGGAAGCTTTGATAAGTGTACTTGCTGTTCCTATTGTTTGTAGGGTATTGATTCACTTGAAGACGTTGGATGTTTTGGTTTGACAGAGCTTGGTTATGGCAATAATGCAGTCCAAATGGAAACAACAGCCACATATGACAAGGAAACTAAGGAATTCATTGTTAACACTCCAAACCCATTGGCACAGAAATACTGGATCACAAATGGTGCTTGCCATGCACACCACATTATTGTGTTCTCCCAGCTCTACATAGATGGGGTTAATCAAGGTAGCTTTCTACAAAACTTGTTCCTCTCTTCAGCTTCTTTCGTTCCTGCCCTTCTTCCCCATATCCCATAATTCCCCTTTATTTGTCTGCATAAGGTTTGATTTGATTACTGTACTTTCACTTATGGCGGCTACAGCCTCTGTGATTTTGAAAAAAATTAGGGTGGTCCTAAACCTATCCTGTCAAAGTTATTAAACTTTATGGAAAGTTGAAGCTAAAATTCTGAGAAAAAATTGCTTATAACAATTCAGGATATAAACCAAAATTAAAACTATCTGGAAGTCTTATTAAGGTTTTTCTTTTAAAACACTTTATCCTGTTGCTGTGCTCATGTTAAGGGGATGAGCATACACCTTCATACCTTACCATATTTGAGATTGGAGTATATATTATTGTATTTTAAATTAATGATGTTTCAGGTATTCATGGTGTTCTTGTTCCAATTCGAGACAAGAACCTGCAGGTGATGCCTGGAGTTCAGATTCATGACATGGGACACAAAATGGGCTTGAATGGAGTTGACAATGCCAAGTTTACCTTTTCGAATGTTCGTGTTCCAAGAGAAAACCTTTTAAACTTGTATTCTGATGTTGCTGAAGATGGAACCTACTCAACAAGTGTTCAAGGTAGCATTAGAAAGCGTTTTCTCACTGTTGCTGATCAACTCCTCTCTGGTCGCATCTGCATTGCAAGTATGTCACAAGGTACGTTGAAATTTTATTGAAGAACAGGGAAATACAGTGTCGGTTTTCTTGATTTTAATTCTTATCATTGATATTTTAATTATTTTTCTTTTTTCCCCTTTCTCTCTATTTTTTGTTTTTTTTGTGGTAGTGTATTGTTCTTTATACTTGTATTTTGATGTTGTTATTGCAATTACCAAAAAAAAACTCTTATCATTGATAATAGAGAATACATATCAGTATCTGAAAGTGAGAAATTAATATATTTGAAAAGCTACATGTAGCACTGTATGGGATGAACAAAAATCAAGCAAGTTACTGTTCTGTGATGATGTGAACATAATCATTTTTTCTATACTTGAATGTCAAAACTCCTGCATTTGGGAAAGTTCATTTTTCATTAAGGTGATTCCCTAGTAAAAGAACCTAACATAGATTGTAGATGAAACTTGGTACACTGATGTAACAAGTCAAGAAGATGATAAAAGGGTAATAAAAAGTGGGGGTTACCGTGCTCGTTTTGACATCACAATGCTGACAAATACGGCTATTTTGGACACTTTGACAAAAACCGCCTGCAGCCCAAAACTAGACAAAAAGGAAAGATTTTTTCAATGATGCATGTGGTATCGCACAGAATTTGACTTTAATGTATTGTTTATCTACTTACGTACCAGAAAAATGCCTTGTTAATGCCCTTGTGTTTACTTTACGCTCCAAAGTAGAATTAAATTGGACACGCGCTATTCGACACGTGATAGCTCAATCCGTACAATTTAGTAAAATTGCCGAAAAACTGAACATAGATTTGTGCCAATTTTTTTCTCACTGAAAGGAAGCACTGTCCCTATTAAAATCATGAAATAAAAAATGGGGGTCACCATACTCGTTTTTGTGGTAGAGCTGCAGAAAGTGCCCACCAAATGCATTTTCCTTGATTTTTGAGAGAGGACAGGGGCAAGTTTCAAAATAGAATGTATGCGAAAGGGGGAAGAAAACATTAAAAAATCCGTTTTTACAGAATTTACATCGAGATATCACATTTAGGACACAATGTGATAAAGAAAGCGTTTAAATGAAAATCAAAGTGAATAAGCACAAATTAAACATGCACTATCAAGGTTCTCTGTGAGGAAGTCGAACTCAGCAACACGCATACTGCTTACGTTATGCTCATTCCCACCACATTGAGTCTCACCTTGGCAAGAAACAACCGTAAGCAAAAATTGCAATAGCGTTTCTCTTCGGTCAGCTTCATTTTAATAATGTTACTTCACATGCTCTTTTTTATGGAGGCCATCTTGTTATGCGCAGTAAGAGATGCGCAGTGCAAAACCAGGGAATCACCTTAAATTAAACAATTTCAGAGAGGTCAGAAAGTTCACTAAGGAATTATCATCTTGTTGTTTTAAAGAGATATTTAAGAAGGTACAGAGTGAAATAAGGAAGTTTGCACAGTTTTGTCTAGTATGCAAATTGAACCACAGGCTCACAACAGCCTCCTCAAAGCCAAATTATAGAGATCTGTATGGGAATTTATTGTAAGTTTGATAAAACAGTTAAATTGTACGTACCTCATAAAGAGATATCTCTGTCTTGTTTTCTGTCTTTTTTCTGCCGTACAAACATCATTTTAGCAAGTTTTGCAGTTCTGGTTACTCACCTACTAAAAAGATGGCAAGGAAAAACTCCACTGTCCTACACTTCCCAAAATAAAGGTCCAAAAATCACCTTTGGTTGACTCCAGTCACTTCAAGTATTCAACGAACATTCTTCTTCCTAGAGAAACATCCATTTCAGTTCCAAACATTGAGCTGTGGCCTCAAAAAGACAAGAAAATAGTATAACAAGAAAGTTTGAACTTGGCTCTTCACTGCTGTTTGTTTTTGGACCTTTTGTCACATCTATAAGCTTTCTTTTACTTTTTCACATTTGCATTTTCCTCATGTATATTTTATTTTCAATTTTACCACACTGATTTCAACCTTTGAAGGTAATAGTTACAGGCTGCTGAAAACTTGGTTTTTGCATTTTTTCCTTTTCAGTCTTTACTTTTTTCTTATTAGTTAGTGTGACATGAAAGTACTCAAGTAAATGATTAATTTGCTAGTGTTTTGAGTTAGAAGGCTGACTCATTTTCACATTTGTTTCACTGAGCGTAAAATGTAGTATCTTTCATTCTTTCACCACACATCAACATTGCAGTATGCATGACGTTTGTCAAATATGAACCTAGTATATGGCCTTGCTGTCCATGAGTTCTCTGTAGCTCAAGTGGATGGAGTGCCTGTCCAGTATTTGGGAGGTCATAGGTTCAAATCCTGTCGGGGACTCAGATTTTTTCTTTGTCCCACGCTTGTGACATGCTGATTAATTCATTTTCACATTTGTCTTAGCGAGCTTAAAATTTACCATCTTTCATTCTTTCAAAAAGGCTGACTGATGATAATTTCACTGATATGCCACTAAAGAACAGGATCAGGAAGTTCTTTACTAGCATCATTTCTGCTTAGTTATGCTAATGTTTTAGCTTATGCTTTATCTTGTTTGTGTTGATTCTAAGGGAACAAAAAGTTTATTATAATAATTATTAATCAACACACTTTTTTTGCAGGTGCAGCTAAAGCTTGTCTTGCCATTGCTATCCGTTACTCAGCAACTCGTCTGACTGTAGGACCGGATGGGAAATCTGACACTCCTATTCTAAATTACCAGCTCCAGCAGCAAGCTCTTATGCCTCTATTAGCAGCTACATATGCCATTGACTTTGCTCTACAATATGTCAAAGATCGTTGGGCATTTCAGGTGCGATGCGATGTAGCTTTCATTAACAATTATTGACCATCATTGAATTAGGCAGTTTGGATCAAACAGCTGAAGAGTTAAGCTCACTTCACTGCATTGCATATGTATTAATTGTAACATTATCAATCTCATGTCCTTTTTGCAGTTATTGTTATTATTCTTTTGTTTTCCATCTTTCGCGATTGCTTTAATACAACTGGGGCATTAATAATACTTAACTATCCTATCTAAATAATTGAAATGGAACATAACAAGGATAAGAACCTCAGTTGGCTGGGAGCATGCCCAAGGATTTGAGCTCAGGACCACATACTGAGAACAAATCCAAATAGTGGTCAGGGCGGAGCCTCAAGATTACAAGTCCAGTGCTCCAACCAAGCTTGGCCATGCTCCCTCCACTGATGGGAGTTTTTCGTGTGTAAATCTCTTAGGTCTGACAGAAGTAGCAAGAAACACCAGAAAGGTGTCATTTCTGCCCATCTGATGCTCAAAGCATGTTTTTCAGCTGATTCTTAACAGTGTTAGTAACAGACGTCCAATTTTGTTACAGGAAAAAGATGGGTCTGAGCATGCTGATGTGGTGACAATGTGTTGTGTGATCAAAGCCATTTCTGGTTGGCATGTAGCAGAGACAGCTGCTGTTTGTCGCGAGAGATGCGGTGGACAAGGCTACCTATCTTGTAACAAATTTGGCAGTGGCATTGCTGGTTCACACTCATCAATGACAGCAGAAGGTGACAACTCAGTCTTAATGCAGAAGGTTGCATCAGAAAGGTTAATGGTTCTCAAGCCAACTATGTTTCAAGTTGCAGCAACCTATGTACCAAGTTTTGTAAACCGGATGTTCAGTTGGGCAGACCTTAGCAACCAAAAGTATCTTCATAGCCTGCTGGAGTCACGTGAGAAAGAGCTTTTTATGGCTCTCGGGATGAAAATGATGAGGGCAGGGAAAAAAGGAAGGTTTGATACTTGGATGTATAAAGAACAAGACCTTGTCCAGGCAGCTGCGCAGGCTTATGGAGAGAGGCTTATCAGTGAATGCTTTGGAAAAACCCTTGATAGAGCTGATCCTGAACTGCAGCCAGTCCTTAAAAAGCTTCATCATCTGTATCAGATAAATGTGATCAAAAAGGATCTGGGTTACTTTACTACCTCAGGTTTGATGTCCACGGGAACTGGTGCTAAAGTTGGAAAGGCAGCAGCTGATTTGTGTAAGGAAGTTGCACCGCAGGCTCTTGCACTCTGTGATGCCTTTGGTATCACTGATGAAATGCTTAATGCTCCAATTGCGAGGGATTGGATAAAGTATAATTCTGTTGATAACAAAGGCGAAGTTGAAGGTGTAGAGTTTTAAGTTCATAAGTTGAAAGGTTTTTAAATAACTTTGCAAACAAATATATCATCCCCGGGTAACATGATTGAACAATGGTATTTTTCAGGTGGAATGAAAAGATTTGACATTAAGTGATCGATTGACATTATGGGACATATAAAGTTCAAAAAGAAAGTACATGTCACAGTCAGATTTAGTAACGTGTCAAATTTCTTTTCAAGGTGTCCTTTCTTTCAATCACAAACCACGTACTTTGTAAAACATTCGTTTCACCATTTGTACATGGCATATACCTGAATCCGAAAGAACACGTTACGTCGTTTCTTACTTTTCTTTATTTATTTATTACAATTTATGGTTTACATTAATAAAGAAGAAGAAATAAATGTACAAAAGCCAAGGAATGAAATGCAATAGAGTCCTCGACTCCTTGTTAAACCTTTTCTCCACTAATAATAAACTATTCTTAAAAAACGACTCATTTAATAGCTACAATTTGACTCTAAAAATGTTACAAATATTCATCAGTAAATTATCAATAAATAATACTAATAGAACAATAGTAGGAATAGATTAACCTTGCACACAAAATAATTAAAGACTGTTCTAATCCATAAAAAATTTCTTATCTCCTGCTCAAAAAGAATTTACACTTGTAGTCCTACGGACGTGTTCTGGCAGGGAGTTCCATGTGTCAACAACCCTATGGAAATGACTGTATTTTAGGATGTTCGTTCTTGTATATCTCTTCCTAAGAGCTAAATCATCATAATGTGTAAAAGAATAGTGTTTAGTTTCCATATAAAAATCGACATAAGGTTGGACATCAATGTCAATTATACTATGGAGAGCCTTATATAAAAAGTAACATCCGCTGACAAACGTCTATTTTCAAGTGATAGCAAATTTAATTTCTTTTAGCGGCCAGCATAGCAGTCTTCAGTCTTAAGGATAAATTTAGGTGCCCTTCTCTTTACTTTCTCCAGCTTTTCAATATTCTTTTTGGTATGAGGGGACCATATCGAGAAGCAGTATTCTAAATTTGATCTTACTAGTGCACACTAAAGAGTTCGTAATGTCTTGTGGGTCATCCAAACCGCTGCAAAATTTTCATCTTTATCTAATACAGCTGTAGTGGTAATTTTGCAAATCCTTGTTGATGGCGACGTATTTTATGCTCAAACTTGGGAGCCTTGGGAGGTATTGACCCTGAAAAACCCCATAGAGCCACCTTATAATCGTCAGCGGGATTGATCAATTTAATCATAAAAAAGCGAAGAAGAATTTAGTTCTGGTTGTCGCAGTCAAACGATTGATGCCATCGCGAAAATGACCTAACGTTCTGTCTCAGAAAGAACATGTTTAAGGCTATAGCAGAAAAAGAACTTTAAGCGGCGCCGGACTAATCTTATAATCATTATACCAGGCTCTTTGACGGCTTACTGCTTGAAAACAGTGGTGTAGATCACTATCATTTTTAAAACGTTATTAGCTTGAGTAATACATGAATTTGAACATTTTGTTTCGTCAACCTCACCATATGGTTTAAGGTTTGACTCGAGACTATACTTGTTGCACAATTTCATAAAATTTTAGCACTGTTTACGTTGGTGCCAAGGAATTCTGAAAAAAAGGAGAACTTTTGCTGCGAGCGCCATTTATTTGTTGCTTGTGCTTATCAATATACCTGTGTCACGCATGTCTACATGTACTTTTCTTTTGCTTGTGATTGCATTTAGATTAACTGTTTCATCGTCTTTTTACTTTTTCAAAGAAGTACATACGCTCTCGAGCTAAAATGGTCATCCCCTACTCGGCACGGTATTTTTACTTCGAAGATCAATGGCAAAAACAACTTGACCACGGTGTTTGACAATATTACTCTAGACTCGAGTTTTTAACTTACTTCGTATAAAACGGTTTTTACAGTGGGGAGAGGGGAAGTCGTACGTGTATGCAGAGGTGAGGGAGAATGAGTGCGAGTTGTTCTCTTTTACTAAGGGAATGGTGATTAATTACTAGCGGGGGAGGGCCGGTAAAATAAGGAAAATGATGACCCAAAAATTTTGGCCCCTTCTCAAATTCGGGCCCAAAAAATCTCAGCTATCGAGTGTCCATTCGAAATGAAGGGATTACGTGTTCTCGCCAACTTGATAATATAGTTGGAAGCTTTGCATTATGGGATATATGATTTATCCTCCTTTTGCCCTCCCCAAACCATTGGCCCAAAAAATTATGAGCCCCCCCCACCTCACCCGCTCCTTGAAATAGTTTTATTTCCTGGATTGGTCAACTAATTCAGTCATAGGAATCAATCTAGACACAAGAGTGTTCAATAAACTCCAAAAAAAAAAATCCACGTGGGATACAGATCACATGAGCCATTCATAGAAGGGCTAAATAACGGCAAATTACTTAATTGCATGAACCGGCCTGTGCATATTCTTTATATCAAAAACGCTGTTCTTCCGATTCATTTACAAGAGCTACCAATAAATATATTGAATTTGTCCAGGCTTTGGCTCGTTTGTTTTACCATAATGTGATCAGCAAAAATAAATAAGAAAAGTTGAAAATTATTCTTTAAAATTGCATAATCAGTTCATCAGACTAAATACAGGATCAAAAATGCTGGAAACTTAATCGTTAATATACATCTAAATATTTTGACTTCGAAACGTTTTCAGTAAGCCGCCGAATAATTCTATTATCATGAATTTGAATGATTCCACCTTGTCGCCTGACTGTTGTCATGAAAATGCACAATTATCCTTTTAGCCGTGGGAACAGTAGCCTACGTGCAGACGATAACTAAACTCTGATTAGGAGTTAACCAGAGTTTAATTTCGTCTGGGCGCAGGCTGTGGGAACAGTCGACATTACAAAAAAAAAACCAAAAAAACAACCATTGGTGTTTCACCTCTAGTTTGGTCACCTATTAGAAAATCGAGGGTTAAAGCTTTGATAAAACTAAGAATACTTATGAACATCTGCTAGGAAATAATTAAAAACTACGAACAACTTTCGAGCACTGTTTCGACATTTCAAGCGCTTTCAAAAATTTTAAGCACTATTTGAGCACTTTTTGGCGCATTTTCAAGCGCAATCGGGACATGCCTTGCCCTGTCACGTTTGTCACACACACGCGTTTTGCCGTCCTCTTCTTTCTGTCGTCCTGTTGTGTAAAATCACCTCGACGGCTACAACCCTGCTCTGTTTTGGGTTCTATCGGTGTCGTGTTAATGTCTTGCAAAGTTAATCTCCACGCTTAGACAAGTACGATCCGTAGTGCGGAATTCAATGTGTCTATAAATTGTCGCTGTTTTTGAACTGTTTTATGATGAATTTAAAGTTAAAAAATAATGCACAAAGACGTTTCAGTGTCTTTGTTGAGTTTACCTATTCCACCCTAACATCAAACAGAAACATTTAGCCAATTTCATGCTCAACGTAATTGACCCATGCCTTACACATCTTTAACTGCACATCTTTAATCAGTACACGACACTGTTATGCTCTTTTGAAAAAAAAAACGAGTAGTATAGAGAACTCTTTTTCCTCCGTTTGTATTGTTACTCACCACCAGTAACCTCATTTAATCTTAAGGAACTTCTCTTTTTGCGAAAGTTATGGAGATCTCGTAAGTGTTACAACAACAACAACAACAACAACAACAACAATGTATTTATTTAAAGAAATATAAAGTTTACAATACTTTATGTCCTGCAAAGAGCTATAATAGTTATAATGCTAATCTAGGCAGGACAAGACTTCAAACAAAGACGTTATTAAATTACATAAGAAAAAAGAAAAGAAAAGAAATACAAAAACATATAGAAAGAAATACCTTACATACAAATTCAAGTACAGGGGATTTTTTTATTTGAAAAAGAATAAAATTACAACTTGAGGTATATACAACACATCAGGTTAACGTCACAATATATTCTATTAAATAATTAACATTCAAATAATTATCTTCATTGCCTATCGTCAGTAGTGATTTAATTTTTTACGAAATATAGATATGCTGAGACTCTTAACAGAAAGTGGAATAGAATTCCAAATAGACACACCAATTCTAGTAAAGATTTTTTCATTTTTTCAGTTCTCGAGAATTTGACAGAGAAACATTCTTGTATAGTATAATGATGTTTTGTATTGATTTTCCAAAACCTATCGAGAAGACTTTTAGGAGCTGTCTTAGCATGAACGTCATACATTAAACGGCTTAACTGTTGAAAGAACAAAGACTGCAAAGGAAAGCAGTTTGATTCAATAAAAAAGGGATTGCATGGTCTCTGGGTTTAGAAAAATAAATCAAACGCAGTGCACGTTTTTGCAGAACAAGTATCTTATTGAGGTAGGTCTGTGGACAGTTGCCCAATGCACAGATACCATAATTTAAATAAGGAGCAGTAAGTGCATGATATAAAATCAAAAGAGGATGCCGTGGAATGTAATGCCTCATTTTAGCAATTATTCCAACCGATCTACTAATTTTGTGACAGATAAAGTCAATATGATGCTTCCACGATAGTTCAGAATCAATCATTATACCCAAATATTTAACAAAGGGGCCTTCATCTCTAGAATTACTCGAGTATTTAAGACTCATTTAAAGTTGGATTAAAAATCTTAATTTGAGGAACGAAAGGTATTCTTTTTTGGCGCGGACGAAAAATGACATAATTAGACTTTTTGACTTTGAGCGTTTGTTTGTTAGCACAGGAGCCTGGTTTGATTTAATTTTCTAAACCCAGAGACCATGCAATCCCTTTTTTATTGAATAAAACTGTAATCAGCTCCTGGTTAGCATTAAGCCATTCACTTACTTTCTCAAGCTCATTGCTGACAGTTAGTTCAAGAGTACGTAAGTTGTCATTTGCATAGGTTAGACTTGTATCGTCTGCGAACAGATAAAAAGTAAATTCCTTGGAAGATTTATGGATGTCATTAATATATAACAAAAATAGCAAGGGTCCAAGTACAGAGCCTGTTCACTCCACATACGATCGTTTCAGTTTCAGATATGCATTTGTCTATTTCAATCGACTGTCGGCGATCTGAAAGATATGATCTAAACCAAGAATTTATAACTCCTCTTATTCCATAGTGTTCAAGTTTTGTCAAAAGAATCTCATGGTTAACAGTATCAACTGTTTTCTTAAGATCTATAAAAATTCCACGTGAGTACTTTCTATTGTCCATATTAGAATGTATGGTGTTCACAGTATCAAGAATCGCGTGCTGGGTACTATTTTTATTGCGAAAGCCATATTGTAAATCATAAACAATATCATTCTTGTCGATAAACGTTATCAGACTACGATATAAAAGTTTCTCAAATAAACGATTATAAATTGATAACAAAGGAATTGGCCGATAGTTTTCAGGTAACGTCTCGTCTTCACCCTCATACACTGGAATTACTTTTGCATATTTAAGTTTTGCAGGGTAAACCCCAGTTAGTAATTT